GGTAACTTCCCTTTTTAAACGTTGCTTATAAGCAAGCTGATGGCTGATTTGACTTCCTAGCATATGCTAATGCCTGTTTGCTGTCAAAATGAATGAATGAATCGTAGACGGATCGGTTGTCCCACTGGAACAGTCAAACGTTGGAACAACAGCATGCCAGTGCATAAAACTCGTGAAGACAATGAAAAATTATAACAGAATAGGGGTAAAAATCAAAGAAACTGGAAAAACTCGTGAAAAAAATTTTGCATGAATTATAAGAGACAATAGTTATTACAAAAACGAATGAAGTGGAAGCATACCACAACTCGAACTGTTCGAATTCCGCGTCGGATAAGCCGCTGTCCTGCAGCAACACCGGTTGTTTGGCCAGCAATATTCGTCTTTTTTCGCGCATTTTTGAATCCTTCCAAACGACATGATGTGTAGGTGATTATTTTATACTGCAATTGAATGATTTTTACAAAAAAAAAAAAAACTTTTGCCAAAACAAACAAACCGAAAAGGAGCCCAAATTTGTCCATCCGTTTTTGCTTACATGTATCTGAACATGCAGATTCTCTTTGATACTTTTTTTTTGCTGGTAAATCGATGAGAAGGTTTGGGGCGCCACTTAGTACAAAAGCACAAGAATGTTATTATCATAAAAAGCGTGTTATTATTTCTACTATATTTCATTTCCTACAGAATAGCAGCCGATTTGAACACGCTGTATACGCAGTAGTAGCGGTTTACCATCGAAAAGGGTCAAGAAATAAGTTAGTTTTTTATCGGTAAAATCAAATTGTTGGTTTTCCACTGATAAGTTCGAATCACTCTTTCCCGGCAAGGCGCCTCACTGGACAAGAAGTGGCAACGTTTGGGATGAATTTTGGCTCAAAACAACTCGGAACGATTAAAGCCTTGCCAAGTGCTACTGTTTGGGGAATCAGAGAGCAAGTAGATCCTCAAAACGACGAGACGAACGTCAGGATCAACGGAATGTTAAAGCTGGAAAAGTAGCAAGCTGGACCGAAACGTCTTATCTCACTCTTGCCTTCTCTCCTACACTACTCTTTCTTCCTGAATTTTCATCGCACCTTCGCCATTTGCGTTTCCCGGGTTAAGCTGGATGTTGCAATCTGTTACACAGAAATGGCAAATCGGACTTACCCTATGATCTGTGACAGTAATTAGCGTATTGTTCCGCGATGCTTTGATATGAACAATTGGAAGCTCCTCGAACGGTATCCCATCAAACTGTTGCTTGAATATCTCCACGGTCGGTAAACGCTTCTCAAAATGTGACAAATTCACCGGAACCCAGCTTGCGCCACCAACCGTCCCTTCGGCCTGCGGATGCTCCATTTCCTTCTTATCAATACCTGTAAAGCACCAAAAATAAACCAAAAACAAACAGTAACCAGTGAGAATACAATTATACTGTTACTTCACAGTAAAGCAATTTAGCACTTCCCACATGATTCTAGCAGTTCTTAACACAACTCATTTGAATTTAATCTGTACCAATTACAGCTATCACGACTGCCTTACTGACGAAGTCTGTTTGTGGTAATGGTAAGAAATGTATACGACTTGATGGGACCGAAAAATTTCTTATCATTATAATAATTTTATTAAAATAACTTCACTACTTTTACTAATTTCTTAATTCTATTTTTCTCTTCGATTCTTCTATTTCAATA